CGTATACTCGTTCCTCTCTCGTTCGCTCTCTTTCTCTCCCCTATCATTGTCTGTCTTTCTCTATAGCTCGCACGCGTCTCATCGCCTTGTGTTATTAACCTAAATTGCTGTGCTCGTGAATGGTATCACGCCCTTATCGAGTCACACAGGCCGCTGCGTCCACGTGTGTCTCGTCGAGCGCGTGAGGCGAATACTGTATAAATGATCAACGCCAAAGCATCTCTCCGGCTTATATCGTGCTAATGGACAGGTAATTACGCGATAATTTCGCACTCATTTTCTGGTAATATGGCAGTCGCGGAATAATAGAGTGATTAATGAATCGATGGCAGCTGATAGCGCGAAATCTGATGAGAACGCGAGACTTGCTCGGTAACTCGATCGCAGAGAGAGGCATTATATATCGAAATATAATATTGCTACGAGTCTCTCTTTTGTTTAAAATTCTTTTTCCAAAATTTTTTCGCGTGGCAGAATGGAATTTGCGATGAAATTGCCGATATCGCTCAAGGCAAAGCGGATAAGCACATGAAACATGCCTCAGCCTGTTACTCGAGACTATGTAAATGTCAGATTACACGCGATGAGCAAAGTTCTCCGGACGACCGTTTCACGCTGGTAAGCTCGCGATAACAATGGCCAAGCATGACTAGCGTAGATCGCGTTGCTGCCATTCGCGACGTGTTCAATATCGCCGACACCAGATTACAAGAGGACAACGAATGCACTTATGCACGTGTTGTCGCAATCCGGTGTCCCAAGAATCACATGACAAAGTATTCAGATTGTAGCCGCGAACACATATACGATTCGATAAGAGCCGATAAGAGCACAACTTGAATACGCGTGCGGATGACGAATGTATCTTATTGTAAAAATATGTAAAATATTTGTATAATTCCGTAACAGAAGGACTCGCGAACGTAAGAGTCTCGGAAGAGCGGTAATAACACCACGGGTGAGAATTCTCAGATTACATTTCTCACGTTTATAGGTCAAGACCGCTGACGTTGTCTGGAAATTAGCAGCGTCGTTATTTCTTCGCGCAAACAACAGCTGCTTCAGGCAATCCGGGATATTTGAATCCTCGTCAATTAGCTGTTGATTATTCAGCGTCTGGCCCGTTGTAACTATTCGCGTAAGCGTCTGGCGTGTCATATAAGCACCTCGAAATACAAAACCATCGATTAAGAAACAATATTACATCAACAAAATTACAAAGATAAATTTAATTAATATTAATATTAATTATAATATTAATATTGTCGCATTATCGATTTTTCCCTAGCAATAAATATCTTTTATTATATATAAAAAGTATATTATTCTAACTGAAAGTATTTTGACTAACCAAAAACCGCAGATTATGCTGCAGACTATGTGCATCACGTAGGTTTAATGCAGGCGAAAAAGAAATCGCGATTGTCGTGCCGCGCGTTCTCCGGCACGTGGAACGTCCAAAAATGCCAAACTTCTTTTTTGTTGGATGCCGCGAAAGGGCCCGCGGTCCATTATACGGAGCCGCGCTTTCGAAGCGCCGCTTTGGGATGCTTAGTACCTGAGTGGCTCGAAAAAAGTTTGACATCATCGAAAACGTGAGACGGCGGGCAAACTGCCGTCGCGCAAATGTCGCGTTTTATTGCCGATAATTATATTAAAACATATTTGCAAAGTGATAACAATATTTTTTTGATGAAAATTATTTTGACACACACGTCGAATAGTTTTCCGAGGAAATATCGAAATGTAAAATTTCCGAGGAAATATCGAAATGTAAAATTTATATATTTTTATAAGGTACCATACATAATAAATATATCAAATAGACATGTATATAATAGAGATATCAAATTGTTCAAGGCTTCTATTGATTTTGAGCCGGCACTCGAAATTCTGGCACCGTACGGCGCGAAATCCGTGTTTAAGTTTGGCAGCGATACTGCGACGCTTATGCGAAAGACAGAACATATCGATTAGTGCGAGTGAGATCGGAGTCCACTCACTAGTCGCCTGTGAGTGGCGGCGCGTGTCAACCTTGCCGTGTCCTTGAAACCACGCGACCGCGACCGAGCTATAAGCCGGAGCGACAAGCTAGCTAACGCGCGCTCGCGTGGTTCTAGGAATCAGCTGATTGTCAGACGATTGGAGGATACCCAGAGAGGTTCGCTCCGGGAAAGATCCGCGTCTCTTCCGAGCCGGATGGAATCAGGTTTCGGACTATGATTAAATACGTGTGGCTATAGCTTTCTCGGGAAATACCGCGCGATTTGTGCAACTATCATTAAAAATTTAAATAATGATAATAAATTTTCTACGCTACTTGTATATATTACATTTTTAAACAATATTAAGTGTTATTCAATGTAACAAAAACTGGTACCTACAAGTGATATTTTCGGCTCAATTATGTTTTATTTAAATTACACACCACATATGCATAACGTATCGAGATGTTTTCAATTCGAATTATAATCTAAAGAAGATAACAGGCATCACAAGAAAAGTTGCAAAGAGGCGCGACTGGATTTTTTACGCTTAATAATTAACCTTTTCAACCACATGAATGAATTGTCGTGAATTATAATGAATCCGTACCACGTGCGACCTTCGCTTCGCGGCAACTCGATCGCTTGCCGTAGAATATCAATATATGACGTCTTTGTTAAATGTAGACGAGCGCGAGCGGGAATTTTCTAGTGTGAAGAAAACAGTCGACGCAAACTCAAGATCGACGAGCAAGAAATTTCACGAGAACTCCGATCGTCCACCTTCACAATTCTTTCGCCGTGAGATTAATGAGCGCATTATAATAATTCTTTTCGCCGAAAGCGGAGAGACCGTCTTTGCTATGGAGGAATGCAGTTTTTGGCGCGATTCCAAATAACGCGTAATATATGAAATTAGAGTAGATTTAATATAATTAAATCGCGCTCGTGCGCAACAATCCTCGGCAATTGTCAAATCCTAATGATCATTAGGCCTAGTTGCCTGGAGGCGAAGAAAAAAATAAGTACGTGATTACAGGATAGCGAAATTTGTATTCGTCTAGAGGCTCATCATCGTTAGTCTCGCGTGCGCCATCTTGTTCGGTGGGGGTCAAATTTTTCTTTCTATTATAAAAATATATACAGATATAACTCGCGCAGAGAGATATCTTGCGAGAAGAGAAAAAAAGAGACCTCTCGAAACGTTTATATAATCGCAGATAACGAGTGGTCAGATAAATGTTTCTATGTATGTGTTAGATTCGCGCCGCCCGGATTCGTAATCGAGATCAAAATAAAATGTACTGATAGCGAGATTTTTTATATGTTAATTAACTACGTCATTTATATCGAATCCGGTTTATAATTTTGAGAACGTGTTATTTTTTTATGGATATGTTTTATGTCACGAAATTATTAATACGCTGCATTTACCGCTCATAAGAATTGATTCGAAAGGGTGAAAAAGGCATCTCACGCGCCGATTTACGTCAAGAATACTATGGAAAAGAAAGAAAGATGCTATGTAACTTGTCATTTGGCATGTTTTGCGTGTGGCATCACGGTCCTGCATTCCGTTTCTACCTCGCAAATTGCTATACCAGAAACGCTATTGCCTGCAGAGGAGGACATTATCGTAATTTAGACTTTCGCGGTTTTCGCGAAAATCACATCATAATGTACGTTCCTTGTAATGCTTAAAAATTTCTCTCTACTTCAGCCAAAATATCCTTGTATGATGAGTATTATTCTTAAATTTTTTTGATTTTTTTTATTAATTGAATACAAAAACTAACAAAATTTGATTTAAAAAATACAAAAAAAAATAATAGGCACTTTAAATATTTTTGATATTAATCTGTAATAAGTGCTTTTTTATGTAGAATAAATTAGACCAACGATTAGATAATTTTGTAGATTCAGGAATACACTTTTAATACAGGAAATCCATACAAATGAACGAAATGTTGACTGTTAGGCACGATATTTAAGCAGATGTTGTAACTGTTTGCACATCGAGACTGTCTTATCTACTTTAAACTACTGATGCGGTAAGTGTCGATTGCTTGTTGGAAAATTACTAATATTTGACGAGAGAAAGTGCACGTGGTAATCATCGATCTCTTATTTGTTTAGTTAAGAGATTAGATTTGATGGCGTTCAATAATTAACATTCCGACTTAATTTCTTGGAACGATAATTTAATTCGATATAATTAATCGTTTCGCAAATCTCTGATAAAAATCGAGAACTAATTTTTCATAATTGATTAATAAATTGCTATAATAAAGCTTGGATATTTTCGTTAAAGAAAGAAAAGAGAAATAGAGAAAGTGAAATACTATTTCTCACACACAATACGTAACGTGATGGAAATAAATTGTCCTAATCTTTATTATCGAATGAGAGAGAAATTCGAGTCCTTTAAGGTCCTGCAAGGATCCTATGGTGTTTGGGCAAAACTCAGTAGGAGGCAGCAGGTTCTGGCATTTGGTACTTTAAGCAAAGAGGGTAGAAGGGATGGAAGAGATTTTGGGCCCGAGTTGGGAGCGAGGTGGTCCGCCAGGCTCGGTTCATTCTTGGCTGTGACGTTGGGTTTCGCCGTCAGATGGCGACACTGTAGCGCAGGAATCTCGCGGCCGACGAGCAGGGTCAGTCTCGCGCGAGACGTGCAGCGTGTCGGACGTCTCGGGAGGCGCGAGTCTAGTGGAAGCGCGGGTATTTCTTTCGAAGGATTCTTATAGAAAATTTTTTTTTCGTCCGCATTTTTTGCTAAAGATTTATTATATCCAACTTATGCATTGTATAGTTTTCAAGATTTTATTATTAAAGAATATAATAAATACATTTAAAAAATAATAAATACATTTAAAAAATAATAAATATAATTTTGCTTCGCGCGCGTAATTTTATTCGGCTAGATTAAACGAAATGAGAGAAAAATAAGCGATTATGAGGAAAATGGATAGTGGAGGAATTGGTTGATTAATTTATAATACGAACAACACAGAGAAATTATGTTTTGAGAAAGAGATCAACATTTATTTGATGCTCTTGCCACAGTAAGCGTCAGGTGTCTATTCTCATAATAGAGAGGAATTATAAATATAACCTCTTTGCACTCGTATAAATATAAATAACGTATTCCTTCGCGCGCCATTAATTCGCATATATACATTCATACACATTTTCTCTCACGCTGCTCTTAAACTTAAAAAATCTTAAGCCTAAAAATATCGTAATAACTAAAATCTTTCTTCGTACTTACAATGGTATAATGTTACACAAATCATCTAGTATTTTACGTACAAGAAACAGAATGGAAGACCTCGGTGATTCTTGTTGCATAAGGCACTTAAAATATTAATTTATATAACTTATGTACAAGGATCGAGGGATGTTGGAGGAAGGAGAGGAGGGGGGAGAACGATGAGGCGAGATAAAGACAGAAGACTAAATCCACGATACTTCAGAGCAACCATTTGCGTTCATTTCCGCCACACCAAAATTAGACATATTTACAAGGCACTATTAATAAGGCTGCCTCATTGGCTACTGGCCGACCGTGTACGCGCAGGAATAAACTCGTGTCTTCTAACGATCCTTCAACCTTGCGATGTTCTACGGATGGGATCGCGCGTCTACAATCATCTACGTTATTGAGGAACATGTTTTTTTTTCCCGCGAAATTTTTTGCGCGGTGCGTAAATCGGCACGTTCAAATTAGCACTTCAGATTATCTCTTCAGATTCTACTATCGACACTATATCACTTCGCTTATCATCATCACGCACGTGCCTGTTTCTTTCTCCTTTCCTTTTACCACGGCCTCCACGGCTTATCCTCGACCGCCGGCACCACGCTCTTCCTCATTACGAGCGCGAGAGGTTTCTGGAGGGGAGGGCTGTAGACGCGTGGATCGAACTCCGGGTCGCTGGTGTAACCGTTCGCCGGGGATGTCGCGACATCTCTATGACTGTTGGCCGGACTGTAGGTGGTAGATTGCTCGCGAAACGCCGGAGGAGGTCCCTCGAACGCTACCGGGCTCCCCGCTGACGTGGACGTCGAGCTGGCGGACGAGGTCGACGATGACGCGGAGGCCGTGCTGGCGGTTCTTTGAGGGATCGGGATCAGAGTTGGTAAGGGTGAACTCGGCGCCGGGGACGACGATGGCGATGACGGGCCCGCGGCTTTCGCTCCCGCCGGAAGTACCAGGGCGATATCGCCGTTCGGCAATCTGGTCGGGACCAGTTGCAGGCCAGTGCCGTTGGCATTAGTGAAAAAAATGCCATTCGATTGTTGAACTTGAATCCGCGGGGTTGCGTCAACTTGGGGCAGGATATGCACTTGCAATTGCGTCGTCGGTGGCGCCGGTTGGACAGGCTGCTGAGTCGTCGCTTGGCCGTTGTTGGTACTGGGTTCAACCGGACCTAGGCATGAGGCCAAATGGGCCATCAGACGTCTCTTCACCACAGCGTCCAAACCGGGAAACTTGTTGACTTCGGCGACGCATTCCGAGTAACCGGCGCGAAATTTGTTGAGGATGCTCGGATTTGTCGCAGTGGCCATAGCGATCTGCTGTCGTTGAAGGTTTTCCAAATGTTTCACGGTCAGTTCCAAAATGTCAGCCTTCTCGAGTTTCGAGTGTCTTGCCGGCTGTAACAGAAGGAACGAGAGAAAAAAATGATTAGACGATCTGATTGATTGAAATTATTAGCAGCATGCGTAGGATATATAAAATTGGAAGTAGGAAAAAATAAAAAGCTAGAATGAAAGATAATTTTCAAGAAATAAATTTTTTATATTAAAATTTTTTAAAATTTAGAAATTTTCTTTATTTTTTTATTATTGTGTCCTTGAAATTTGTATTCTATACAATGATAATGGTAAGAACTTACGTCTTTTTTCATAGATTCCAGTACGAGGGTTTTCAGGTCGTTCAAACTGCTATTGATACGGGCTCGGCGTCTTTTTTCCATAATGGGTTTATTGCTCTGTGAACAGAAATTTTCCAAAATAATAGAAATCCCATAAACATCTCAGTCAGTCAGAAATAAAGTATATAAAGAAATGTATATCGATGAATGCGACGGAAAAATAAAACAATAAAATGTCATGTTGAAAAAAATTCAAAAAGATAGGCATTTCAAGTCCTTTAATAACGGTTTATCATTGAGAATTATAACAATCTAACACAAGTATCTTTCTAATAATAGTAAGTCTATTACAATTAACAAAAGTAATCGTTACTTTATGTCATTTTTTATGATATCCTTTTTTTCTTCTATTTCTTTCCGTTTTCAATTTTTTCCTTCTTTCCGTTTCTAATTAATTTTCTCAGAATCTTTAAAATAATTTAAAGCTGCTATCGTTGCGTATGACGTGGTGAAAAAATAATATTTTTTTCAAATGTTAAAAGTATTGTTTCACCAAAATTAACATAATTATTGTAAACCAATGATTAAAAAATTATTGAAGCTAAGCAATTTGATCTCTTAAGAAGAATGTGAAGTATGAAATAAGTGATGCTTTATTCATTTTTTAAATTCCGAGTTGGTTTACTTAAATATTAAGTATGATCTCATCAGTCACTTTATTTTCACAATTAAAAAGAAAATAATTTTATCCTAAGCGTTAATTTTGTAACATATAAATAATTGCGATTCTTTTTTGTATCACGAAAAATCCAAATTAATTACTAAAAGTGTAGACAATGTCACGCGATGTTGCAATGGAAGATTGAAATGAAAAAATTCTTTGATATCCAAGAGATGACACTAACCCGTCGATTTTCTCCTGATCTTCTCGTAGTCGTCGTGGTGGTCGGAGTTTGTGCCGGAGGCTGGCCAGCTTCCTGTGGCACGTGTTGCGCGGGTGGCGTTGCACCGACGGTGATTCCACCCGTCGGCATCGTGGCACCCATTTCAGCCACCATAATTTATCTTTTACTCTCAAAATCACTAAACTCAAAAAATTTCCAAGTCAAATAATCCCCGTCGACGTAGCACTATTTAAAATCGAAGTCAATCACTTCACTGATAATCCAAGTCGCTTAATGTCTCCTTCCCTCTCTCCCTCTCTTGAACAATGCACGAGGCAATTGAAGGGACCGCGCTACGGATGTGAAACTCGATAATGAATCGATGATGAGACGAGATAAAGCAACGCAAGAGTATGCGCTCTTTTTCAACTTCTTTCGAGTTTCTTCCTGTCGAATGTCGCCAAAGTGCGACCGCTCGCGACTGGCGTCAGAGCTCGACTAACTCGACGAGCGACGAACGTCTTCTATCGTACCGTCGGAGCATGGCATGCCGATAGAATGCTTAGTGCTGGTCCTTGGTGGTGGGGTATTCAGTGGCGAGCATCGAGTGGGGAGACTTAGCGCGTGACGCTGGCTTACTCCTACCATCGAATTCTGACGGCACCCTTTAAGGCCCCCCCACTCCGGACTTCGGTCCCCTCTGTGACGCGCGCACCAACGACGACTGGGACCCCCCTTGGGATACTTCGAAGCCGTGAGTCGATCGAACTTTCCTGACGAGATTGACGTCTGTGATTCCCAATGGAATTTTCGATCGCTCTTTTTCGGTCGAGTTCCCTCGGTTGCTCATGTTACGACTGATCGTTCCATCATTTTTCTTCCCCGTCATTAAAACGAATTATTACGATAATGATGCAGCAATCTTCCGTAAGTCATCGGTCATTACCAATGGCAATTTTGCACATTCGATACGAGATCCAATCTGAAATTATTTATACATTCATCCGCGATGACGGCGCTGTTTACATAAGTAACGTATAGTCGGGAATAATTTTGCGCTGCACCTAGAGAACGAGAAACAAAGAGACGCGGCGTTTCCACGGATCGGCGATTAGTCTCGCCGTCTACAAAGGCCATTAAAGCCGGCTGGCGAGCGGTTAGGCGTCGATCGCGCTCGGTGATGGTAATTCACGGACGTCATCGGAGCTTATATCACGTTCCTCGAAAATACATACAGCGGTCGAGTGTGCCGCCGTGTGTGCGGAATAACGACGCACGAGCTGACGCACGCGCATAGCTCCGGCACGTGCCTCGTGCTCCCTCCCCGTGTATTTGTGCCTTTCGAAATTGCTCGCTCTTTCTACTTGGCGACCGATTAAACGCGCGGCACCGTATTTATCTCGGCCATCGCACACATATACGCGCGAACGCGTACACGCACCGTCTGAAATACGACCGCATCGATCTCGCGCCGGATCTTTCTTGTGTTGACTGTTTGGACGGTGCGCGGATGGTTGCGTGCAAATATTTTGACGAACTGTCATATCGCGATCGTTTATTCTCCGCGCCCGTTTCCACCTTTCTCCCTATGCTTTCTCTATCTTTAAATTATAATTACGGTCGAGATGTAAGCGTCGAGGAAAAAAATGCGATTTATTTCTCTCGGAGATTAATCGAGCAAACGGGAAGTCCTTTAACGGGAATTCCTTAATTGCGGCAGGAAATAAGTTGCTAGAGACGGTAGATATTCTTACTTATGTAACGCCTGTGTTTGCTTTATGATTATAGCGACGGATGATTAAACCGGATATAACTAGTCCTTGTGTAAACGTGGTAATGTGTACTGCGATGTCTGTCTGATAAGATGAGCGCCGCTTGTAGACTATAGTACGACAAATATTATCACGCTCGATTTTTCAACTCGTTTCATGTCGTTGCCTTTTATTCGCATTATCTCTGTTATCCGAGATAAAAATTATATCCTATAGTCTTAGCCTCTTCCCGAGCAATTTTGCTAATAAAGCTTCTCGAGCTTGCGAGCGAGAGCGGAAACTTTTACTTTTAACTGTCGGAATATCTTTCTAATCATACATTTATACTGCTATTTGCTGAAATACATAATGCAACTTGGAAGTTGCGCGTATCTACAGTGGCAAGATAACGTCCAGCTCTCGATCATCGTTGGTCCAGTGAAAAAAATTTATAGCTCCCACCGGTAGATGGAAGCACAATGTCGGCGAATCTTTTTGCTTTAAAACTGAATGAGATTAAAAAAGATGTAACGCCTTATTGTTCTTTAATAGATTTTATTACATTGATAATAGATCAATATATTTCATTTTGTATCGCACAATTATTTCGGAGCAATAATCGTCAATCAGTTATCATTTACATAAAACTACTATTTATAACTTTAAAGCGTGCAATTTTTTAATCTAGAATATAAAAAGAAGATCAAGTAATAATTGAAATTAATAAATTATATATATCTTAGTTAAGTGAAAATTATTACAGACATTTTCATTCATCTTTACATTTAATATGTCGACAATATTAATTCAACTAGTTTAAAATTTTATAACGCGTAGAATTTTTTTGTCAATCAAATCGATCAATTATCTCTGTCGAACTGCAAGAGATGGAATGCAATTCATAAGAAGATACATAACGTCAATTGCACGTCACTATTACTACTAGTACTGCTAGAGTGCGTACCCATTTCTCGACCTTTCATCGCCCAGCCTTTCCCTTTCATAATTACCACCTCCGCTACCTCCACGCACATATCCACGCGCATCACGCTTCGGCTCGCGGTCACGCGCCCGCACGGCTCGAGCGCCTGAAGTAGAATGACGATACACTCCCACCATTCATGCGAGCGACGCGCGCGGCACGCTCATCCTCGACAAAGATCCCATGGTGGGAGCCAGACTGGCCCAATCGGCGCAGTTTTGTCGTACGCCGCATCGAATCCTGGTCACGTGATTGGCGGCACGCCTTTGTCCCTGTCTCTGTGTAGGTAGACAGGTAGACGAAGTCACGCGCGCTGTCTCTCTTCGCTGTCCTTGTCTGCTCCCCGGTCTCCCCATCCTGTTTGCGTCGTTTCCTATCGTGCTCCGACGCTCCTTTTCTTTCTCTTTTTCTCTCTCTGTCCCTTTGTCGGTTGCCTCGTATGGTGCCGCCGTTCTACTCTCTCGCGCGCGAGAGGACACGAGCCTCGACCATCCGGAGAAGCAAGGCTCGTCGCACCTACTGCGCTTCCACGAACTCCTCTCCGCTTTACGTCCCTCTTCCCGCTGCTTTGCCCCCCCGCCGTCCAGCGGGATGCTGCGATCGTGGGCCGTGGCGTCGGGTCACGTAGATATCGTGGGAGCAATCGTGGCAGTAATCGTGGGAGCAATCTTTTCAGTTGAGATAATTCTATTTTCCTTTCGCGCTCCTTCGTCGAAACTACACTATGATAAGTTTCACAAATTTATAAAAAGCGATTGTCTTTCCAATATTCGCTCGATTACATAAAATTATATCGGTAAATTCTAATAAGCAATGTATCAACACATGATTAAATGAATGGTGAAGTAGATGAATAGTGTCTCGGTCTCAAGAAACTTGATCATATCATACAAATTGCAATTTTTGATAAAATTTATTTAAGAATGTTTGTTTTGTACCTACATTCAAAATATTGAGAATTTAATGAAAATTGTACAGAATGTCCTTACATATGTTTAGAATCTTCAGTACAATTTTTAAATCGATTCACTAAAGCGTTCACAAGTTATAAGGATTTTAATTTGCACCGAATTAACATGTGTTCTTACTTGGGAAACGTATAACCACGTCGATTCAAATGACAAAAATACATGGAAATAATATTCAGAATTTGTTTAAAATTTGCAAAAGTTTAGATATAGAGGAAATTTGGTCAAATAATATTATACAAGTACTAACTGGTTAAAAAGATATTAAATATAATTGAATGAAGTTAGCCATGTATCTGTCGCAAAGCGAAATTCTCTGCCAAAAGTTAATCATTTCGATTAACAAAATTCGGAATATTTCAATAAAAACGCAAAAAAATACATCTCTGCACTATAGCTAAGCTCAAATTGTAATATTTCACACAATTTCTTACTCAAAATACACCAAAAGTGGATACATTCGTCAATATTGATTTTCAGCTACTTTTTGCTGGGATTATACATACAAAACATCCTTAAAATATATACAATAATTTTCGTATCGCTTATGAATTCCATTATTCTCGTATGCCGTGCGAAGAAATGTCAGACGTGTTGCATATTAATGAAGAATTCATGTTTTTTTAGATAATCTATTGAGAAACTATTTAAAGAATACTTCTAATAGTCCGCACTTGAAATGCGCTCACCGTTGTATGATGTATGCTTTTCACGTGGAAATTCAATTCGTAGTCTGATAAAGATCGCACGAGCATTTTGCAATACAAACACAGAGTATACACAAAGGATAGAGATTAACGTACGAGATGAACGTTGCGCGTGAGTATCCCGGTAGTTATAGCGGCACCTGTTAGCCGGGGACCTACGGCCTTCGTGAACCCGGCGTGACTCATTAGCTTTTATGGGGTGCTCGGGCATTGCCTGGCGGGGCCCATGAGCCGGTGGTGGCCGCATAAAAGCGCTCGCGAGGCGGCATCGGCTTTGCTCGCGGCAAACGAACATTAATATTCGCTCCCCTTCCGTCCAGATATCAGATTAGGGATCCCTCTCCCCCCCTCCCTCCCCCCGCGGGCCCCTTTCCCTCGCCCTTCGTTCACCCGTACTTTATTACACCGCCCGACAAAAATAAAGAAATCGAGCAACGAGCAAAAGTACTCCGTTCTCGTGGTGTAGGATCCAAGCACATCGAGTGCACTGCGATAATCTGATTTCGCCAGCGCAGCTCGTAACCCTCGCATTACTCATTCTGTTTTTCTCCCGAGATTCCGCCTTTCTTGTACCCCTCTCTCACGTCGCATACGACAAAACTGTAATTGCTTGCAGGAAGTTCCGTCAAGAAAGTTTTCCGTTGAGAAAATCAATCCTACGACAATCTGCCTTCTCCGCGCGATTCTCGACTTCGTTCCTCTCCATTAGAATGTATGAATATCGAGACTTGACAGACGTGCACGTTCCGAGCTATTATGTCAATTCTCTTCCGGTGTATCTTATGGAATTCTGCTAGAATCGTGACTGTTTCTTCGTGTCGTTGTGCCGGCTTCGTTAAAAAAATTCACTCTTTCGAATATTATATGCCTTGGCTTTTATCGTGAAACGTTTTTTACTGGAAGCGGTCTCTTCTCTCGAATGTTTACGATAGGCAATTATTAATCCTTTAAGGTTTTTTTCGTTCAACAAAAGCACTCGCTGACATGGTATTTATGAGATGCGTCTTTCAAATTTATTTTCAAAAAATATAGTCTCGTTTGTTACATATCTATCATAAATGTGATCACACTGTGAAACCGTTAATACGAAATATTTGCGCATCCAAAATATGGTCTTTCATTTTTCCCGAACCATTTTGCTCTTTCTCGAATCG